TATAAGTCACTCATCAAATTGTACTTATATACATAAGCATCAATAGCATTAAAATATAACTGTTAGCTTAAAAGTTTTAGTCATTCTTGACCCTGAATTAGATAAACGTTACACTTTTTTTTATCTTAAAGCACAGACAAAAATACAATATATAACGATATATACTGTGTCTCCCTGTGATTACGTTTTCTTCAAAGTTGCAATTAAAAAACATCCAAAGAGATTCTGGAGGCAAGGATAATACTTAAAGAAAACAATACGTGGTTGAGAAACCCATGCTCCAAACCCAAGTAGAAAGTGTAGAAAGGAAAGCAAAAAGAGAAGTAGAAAGTGAGGGAAATGTTCAGAAATTGAAAACTCCTATGTCCCCTACTTAAGCCTCACACACAAGACAAGATGTTCAGAGAAGATAGAGCCACGGGTCCCAGAAGTGCCCACCCCAGCCAGGCCAACAGCATCTGCAGGATACCCCGATGGCCCTGCCCTGCTCCTTCTTGGTGGCCCTGGTGATGCTCAGCTGCCCCTCCCTCGGTTCTCTGGGATGTGACCTGCCTCAGGACCACGGCCTGCTGCACTGGAGGGCCTTGATGCTCCTGCAACAAATGAGGACACTGTCTGCTAGCTCCTGTGACAAGTACACAAACGACTTTGGCTTCCCCCAGGAGGTGTTTGACGGCAAGCAGCTACAGAAGGCTCAAACCCTCTCTGTCATCCATGTGACTAACCAGAAGACCTTCCACCTCTTCTGCACAGAGGCCTCACCTGCTCCTTGGAACACGACCCTCCTGGAGGAATTGTGCTCGGGACTTTCTGAGCAGCTGGGTCACCTGGAAGCCTGTGCCCTGCAGGAGGCGGGGGTGGGAGAGATGCCCCTGGTGAATGGGGACTCCATCCTGAGGAACTACTTCCAGAGAATCTCCCTCTATCTGCGAGAGAAGCAATACAGCCCTTGTGCCTGGGAGATGGTCCGAGCAGAGACCATGAAACCCTTGTATGCATCAACAGCCTTGCATAAGAGATTGCGGAGCAGGAAGTGAGACCCGTTTCAACATGGAAATGATTCTCTCTGAAGAATAATATCACACTCCCATGTGTCCTGTAGTGTCAAAGACTCTCATTTCTTCTGTCATCATGACATGAACTGAATCAATTTGTCACATGTATTTAGGAGTATTAGGCAACTTGAACTCAACGTTGCAAACACCTGTTGCCTTCTGATGACCATGCTGATCTGCCTATTAAGCTATTTATTTATTTCACTATTTATAAGATTTGTTATTTTTTTATTGTATTATATTAGCTGTACCTACCCTTTGTGGTTAAGAGAATTGTATATGTTTTACGTATATTAAATTCTTTATTTTCTGTTCATTAAATGTTTCTATAGAAAACTTCTTGCGTTTGTTTCTTATTGAAGCGGGAAACAAGTCTGATTATTACCCGATGAAAGTACAGATTGTATCACTCTCTCACTCGTTATTTCGTTTTCACATTAGAAGAAATCGCATCGACTTCCTGGAAGTCACTTTGCATGCTGTCGTCATGAGAAAGGCTGACTTCACAAGTCCAATGCTGTGTCTGTATCCCGGATTTTGTAGAAAAACTAACCTTGGAATAATAATTTTAGTGAACTAATATCAGTTATGTTAAAGGGAAGAGTAAGAAGAAGGGATAATATGAATTCTGTAAGTAGAAAAGGAAGCAGACATGTGAGGAAAAAAATGAAAAGCACCAGATACGTTCTACATTACACTGGTAGACACCCAAGTGCGAATATTCTTTACAAAACGGATCGTTCAGGGGCACCCGAGTGGTTGAGTTGGGTAAGTGTCTGCCTTAGGCTTCGGTCATGATGCTGGGGCGTGGGATCAAGCCCTGTGTAGAGCTCCCTGTTCAGCTGGGAATCTGCTTCTCCCTCTCACACGCCCCCTGCTTGTGCTTGCTGTCTCTCTCTCTTGTCATATAAATCAATAAAATCTTCTAAAAACACAAAACAAAACAAATCAAAAAAATAAAATGGATCCTTGATTCTGCCATTTACAAGACATTCCATTCA